CTCTGCACCAAATAAATGTTAGTGATCGGCTCCAGCGGTGTCTCTGGTTTCCATGGTGACTGGTTTGTAATGGTGAGTCCTGCTGTGACTGACTCTCCTTTGCCGCTCTGTCTGTGCGGTTGTGTTCTGGCTCTTCCAGGTCCGTTCGGAGTGAACCATGGAATAGAGCTCCATGCGGATGTGATCGATTACGCCTACCAGAAGTTAGACTCCTTCATCAAAACCAGCGACAGCTTCGACAAGTGAGTACGGACGGATCAGGAGACGTTCACCTTTTCAGTCACAGTCAAAGAACGTCTAAAGTGATGTTAGGATCCGTAACAGGCCTGCTGGGAAAGTTGTTTTTTTTTGTTTCATAAAGTCATTAATCTAGTCATAAAACTTATTCCTTCCTCACAGACTGGGTCATTTGGCCACAGTGCAGTTCTGCCAGTGGCCTTTAGGGGCACCAAACCGGGAAGTTAGCGATCCAGGCCCCCTAGTGGCTAAAAGTTACTTAGACTTTTATTTCCTTTTGTACATCTTTCAGACAGTGATAAGCAGCAGATTAGCAGAGAAACGAACATTTCCGTTTCATAAAGTGCAGCAGGGATCAAATGTAAACATCATGAGCATCGCACCCACAGCATTGCTTTAAACTGACAATTTAAAACAGCTTAGGAGCCATTGTTTCCTTCTCTGTAGATGATGCAACATTTTCAAGTTTAGCCTCAGTGACGTATGTGACGTCGTTTTTACGCTGCTGGTAGCGATTCATCCAGAACCTTCTGGCTCTGTCACCAACATGGCTGACATTTCAGTGGTTTTCAAACATTCTGTGACAAAGTCTGCAAACTTTCTAAGCATCATTTGAATCTCCTTTACTGGAGCTAACGGCAGCGTTCCTGTGTCCCCTTCCCATGTCTCGTTTTCGTGCCTGTTTGCGTTTCCATGTCCTGTTTCCATGTCTGGTCAATGTCCGGTCCATGTCCTGTTTCCATGTCTGGTCAATGTCCGGTCCATGTCCTGTTTCCGTGTCCGTTCCCATTTTTCATTTCTGTGTCTGTTCCTGTGTCCATCTTCCATTTCCATGTCTGGTCCATGTCCTGTCTGTGTCCTGTTTCCATGTCAGTGTCCTTTTTCTATGTCCGGTCCTAGTCTTTGTCCCTGTGTCCATTTCAGTGTCCTGTTTCCATGTCCGGTCCAAGTCTGTGTCCGTGTTTCCACGTGACTGTCCTGTTTCCATGTCGTGATCATGTCCGTTTCCTGTTTCCGTCTGTGTACGTGTCCTGTTTCCATGTCCGGTCCATGTCCTGTCTGTGTCCTTGTTTCCATGTCCGGTCCATGTCTGTGTACGTGTCCTGTTTCCATGTCCGGTCCATGTCCTGTCTGTGTCCTTGTTTCCATGTCCGGTCCATGTCTGTGTACGTGTCCTGTTTCCATGTC